CATAATAATATAACAGTATTTGTGAGCTCATAAATAACAAAGCAATATAGGGCATAATGAAAAAATAAAATATAGCTTGGATCCAATGGAGTTATTCCATTCACTGAATATGTTATTTTTTTAATGCAAGGGCCTTTGATACAACAGGGGTTCCTAGAAATGGAAGGGAGTAAATATTTACCAATTTTCCTTCCCACTAGAGCTCCAAACACCTCTGCCTATATTGGTCCATGGAGATATGTCATGTCTTTGAGCATATTTTTGGGGATGTATGGGAAATCTGGAATTCACCTTCTCCCTTGTCCACTCACAAGAGTCTTTGCTAGATTCAAGACCTTTACATGATGCTTTTCACTTATTTTTCTCTTTGCATAATTGTATTTTAACATGTTAATCTTCTATACCACTTTGGCATGCTGAAATGATAAGCAATTTATACATACACCTAATAAATGTGAAATTGCGGGTGGAAAGGGGTGTATTGGAGGGACAAAGACTACAAACCTAGTGATATATTTAATGTAATATTTTAATAAAAATAAATCAATGCAGGCAATTGCATCTTTTAAATATTGAATAAATGTGGCTGATATTTGCCTTTGCTTATCTAACAATGTACCCCATCTCAAACACTAATATGCTGTTAGATGGTTCAAGGAGAAAATAAACTGAAAACATGATGTGCCACACATATATTTTTTACTTCATTTGCAATAATTGCACATGCAGTAGCAGATGCCAAACAATGAACTCTAATGTTTGTTTTCTTGCATAAATGAATTACCGGTAATAGAGAAAAAAATATCAATGGAAAGTGCATCAGTTTCTGAACACCTTATTCAGCAGGCAATTTAAAACTAGTCTATAATGAAGGAATATTAAATACAGGATCATAATGACTCTCACCAGTGTGACCTTCCAGTGTTTGATTCATTGAGAGATTGCTAGGTGCTGCAAGCCCCTTTGCTTTGGATTCATCTAAAAAAGAAGTTTAAATATCATTTTCAAACAAAGGTTGGAATCCTAAATTGTTCCCCCTGTAGCACAAAGCATCTGCAGTTCTTAACAACATATCCACATATACTCAGGGGTCCCCAACCATCAGAAACAGGGATGGAGAACTCTGCAAAATGTGGGGGAAAGGTGGACTAAAGTCTAATTCCTTAGAGCTCCTACATGGCCTGCCCAGGCTGCCCACCCGTCTCCCTCTCGTTTCCCTTCTCCCCACCCTCCACCCCATCAATACGTACAATTCCACTTCACCAAACCTATCCATAGTCCCCTTAGAGCATGGAGGCCGGATCTAGCCCAATTGCCTTCTAAATTTGGCTTGCAGATGGTCTGGGAATCAGCGTGTTTTTACATGAGTAGAATGTGTGCTTTTATTTAAAATGCATCCCTGGGTTATTTGTGGGGCATAGGAATTCGTTCATTTCCCCCCAAAAATATAGTCCGGCCCCCCACAAGGTCTGAGGGACAGTGGACTGGCCCCCTGCTGAAAAAGTTTGCTGACCCCTGCCTTAGAGCCTCACAAAACTTCCCCCATGGACCCACTTTCTGCATGTTTGTATAGGATTCCCTGGTGTTCGCATCACAGGACCAGAAAAATGGTTGACTGCACTCATCCGTATGCCTTTCACGCAATGAAAATGTCAGATCAGATTGAATGCGTTGCACTGCGGCAGCAAAACATCAAGGGCATTGCACTGCTACAATAACTCAGGATAGTGTGACTACATTGGCACCAGTCATGTAGAGGGAGCAAGTTGACAGACCAGCTACAGAGCAAATGAGAGACCATCATATGCCACCACAGAATGGGAACCAGATTGTACTGATGCAATGCTAGTTGTTGTTGTTTAGTCGTTTAGTCGTGTCCAACTCTTCGTGACCCCATGGAACAGAGCACGCCAGGCACTCCTGTCTTCCACTGCCTCCCGCAGTTTGGTCAAACTCATGCTGGTTGCTTCGAGAACACTATCCAACCATCTCGTCCTCTGTCGTCCCCTTCTCCTTGTGCCCTCAATCTTCCCCAACATCAGGGTCTTTTCCAGGGAGTCATCTCTTCTCATGAGGTGGCCAAAGTATTGGAGCCTCAGCTTCATGATCTGTCCTTCCAGTGAGCACTCAGGGCTGATTTCCTAGGTTTGATCTTCTTACAGTCCATGGGACTCTCAAGAGTTTCCTCCAGCACCATAATTCAAAAGCATCAATTCTTCGGCGATCAGCCTTCTTTATGGTCCAGCTCTCACTTCCATACAGGCAATGCTAGTAACTGTTTTCAAATATCTGATAGGCACAACAGAAGTGTCACTTACCTGTTTTTGTCTCCAATTTTAAAACTTTCAGCAGACCATCTTCTCCCCCACATGCTATATAGCCCTGGTCCTTGCTCCAAGAAATAGATCTTAGCCGAACATTGCCAGGAATTGTGATCTGAAAGAAGGATGGTCTTGTAATGGAAATGGAAATAAAGTTCAAAATTGCTGACCTCAAAGTATGGACCGGTTGCGCATCATAAATTCAAAGCGCATACACCCCACCCCTGGCAAGAATCCTGGGACAGTAGTTACCTTTTTGCAGTGCCACAATTTCCAGCAACCTTAACGAACAACAATTCCCATTCTTGGAGGGTGGGGTGCTTTAAATGTATGGTGTGACACACGTCGCTTCTCTAGTGTACAAGGTAATACAGTTGTACCTTGGATCTCAAATGTCTTGGCTCCCGAACAAATCGGCTCCCAAAAGATCAAAACCTGGAAGTGAGTGTTCCAGTTTTCGAATGATTTTCGGAAGCCGAATGTCCAACGCGGCTTCCGAACGTTTTGGAAGTCAGACAGACTTCCGGAACGGATTCTGTTCGATTTCCAAGGTACAGCTGTATAAGCAAAAGACAGGCTCCAGGCTCTTGCCTCAAAGAGCTTTATAAACTGTAAGAAGTTCTTTTCAGGCTATAAGATTGAAATGAAAAGGTTTCTGGGGCAACATGGGGGTCAAACAGAGGAGAAAAGAACACCAAAAGCAGTAAAAAAAATAACTATTGAAAGCTTCAAAAGTTGCTCCAGTATCAGAAAGCTTTGCTGTATTAGTTAATGGACCAGAGGGAATAGCTGGCACAGTCTGGAGGAATTAAATGAGGTGGGGATTTATTGTTGTTGTTTTTTGACACAGCAGACCCTCCAAGTGTCCCTATTTTCCAGGGACAGCCCTGAATTTACAGAAGCTGTCCCAGTTCCTGACTCGATCCTGGAATGTCCCACTTTTTCCTAAGTGGTCCCTATTTTCACCGGAGAAATATTGGAGGGTATGGAGTTATGCATGCTTTCATCCGTCCCCTGAAGCCAAAGAGATAAGTACAGTACCTCTATTTTAGAAGACATCTGAAGGCTTTTTATTTTTATTTTTATATGGGAACCACCTGGAGTGGCTGGGGCAAGCCACTCAGATGGGTGGGGTATAAATATTATTATTATTATTGAATAGGATGTCTTTATTTTCATCAGAGAAATGTTGGAGGTTATGACAGCGAGGTAACAATATTCACCATATAGATCAATGGCGCTGAGCACCTTTCATAAAAACAACAACAAACAACTTAACTGTGTAAAAAAAATAAGCGATCTTATTGTGGTTGTGTCCCGCTTTCTTCCTGGCCCGTTGTTCCCAGTGTGGGGCACATGCCCCACAGAGGGGCAATTTGATTTTTTGCGGGGGGGGGGCAATTTGAGAATGAGTTATTAACAGTTAAGGTAGGAATTCACTGTTTGAATAATAAAAATTAAATGTCACTGAGTGGAGGCATCAGGATTTTAAAGATGCTTAGGTGGGGCATGGCCCAAAAAAGGTTAGGCATCGAAGCTCCTGGCGTGCACATTCAGACGTTCCCAACCAGGGTTTCCCAAACCTGGGTTCTCCAGCTGTTTTCGGGCTCCAACTCCCATCATGCCTAGGATGGGGACTGCAGTCCGAAAACAAGTTCGGGGAGCGCCGCTCCCGACCTACACGCAACTCGCGTTTAAACCCCCGGGCGACGAAAACGCGCGGCGGATGTCACGTGTGAAGCGCTTCGACACGTGTCCTCCACCACCAACAAACGAGCATCTCTTCTGGCTGCAATCCGAAAACAACAACACGCGCAGGCGAGGGAAAGCAGTGATGGTGGCAAGGGGGAGGGTCGCTGCCGGGGGGAAAAAAAGCACTTTTTAGGAGGAAAGTGAACTTTTGGAGCATGCGCCATGCGCCCCCCCCCGAAGATCGGGGGGGGGTTGTGTGATTTCAAGGCAGCCCCGCTTTAACCGCCCCCCCCCAGATTTCGCCCCTCCCCCCCCAAAAAACACACGAAAGCCTTTACCTTCTTGCTCAGGTAGACAAACATCCTGCCGAGAGTCTTCCCCCTATCGATTCACACGCGCGCCGCCGCCGTCTCCATGGCAACAGAGGCCTAGCGCCTCCTGGCTCGCCTTAGCAACCCGCCGCCGTCGTTGTCGCCGCCGCCTCGGAAGAAAAGCTTCCGGGTCAGAAGAGAAATGAAAGGAAATAAAGTTTAAGAACGACAGCAGCAAAAAGGAAAGGAAAGCCAAGTCTCCCGCGGCATTTCAAGCCTCGTCCACGCTTCGTCTTCGCCGGTTCAGCGGTTTCGTACGCGCTGCTGCAAAACAACAACAAACCCAAAAATCGTCATTGCTCCTCCATAACGCGCGACTGTTTTGTTCCCTGGATTCCCTAATAACAATAACAATAACAATAACAATGATGCATTGTTTATATGCCGCCCATCTGACTGAGTTAACTATTCTTTTTTAAATATATACATATACATATATATATATATATATATATATATATATGGTCCATATGGTTAAAGCTGTGGTGTGTGTGTGTGTGTGTGTGTGTGTATATGTGTATGTATATATATATATATATATATATATGTGTGTGTGTGTGTGTGTGTGTGTGTGTGTGTGTAATAATTTTGGGAGGTTATATAGTTACAGTGGAATGGTCCCGGTGGTGGGGTGCACATTTTTATTCTTACTTATTCTTACTTAAGAATAAAAATGTGCACCCCACCACCGGGACCATTCCATTGTAACTATCTAACCTCCCAAAATTTCAACACTTCTTGCGATGGTTTGACCCCTTTTCCATTTGAGTACATGCCATAGAAAGGTATAGTTAATTTGCTTTCTTAGCCTATTTATATTAAATTATTCAATCGCTGATTGCTTGCTACAATCAAATATGAAATGCAGAAATTGGAGTCTATTAATAGCTCTACCAAAGCAACTTCAGTATTGGTTCCAGTTATAACATAGAGATATGTTTGCTTTTATGAAAGCAGCGAACAAGCTGTCTTACTAATTTTTTCCTGGGCTTCTATTTGTTCACAAAAGAAGAGCCTGTGCTGAATAACTGCAGCATGTCTCAACAGGCATAGACAGTCCTTTTCATATTTAAGGTACATTGAATTTCTTCCAACATGCAGGTTAATACTAACCATAGTTTACCTATTCAGATGTCATAGCAAGAGAATTTTTACTTCTTAGTTTGGCATTACCATTGGTCCTGGTTGGATATTTAGAAGTGGCTAGCTATGTAAATAAATGAGTCCACTCCTGCTACACTTCCATTGTAGAAAAGATGGACGTTGTTAGCCAGAATTTATCTCTGTTATAATTAAAGGAAAAACAGCTTGCTGACTTTATAGAAAGCATTACCTCTAAATTGCAGTTCTTAATATCTCCACCTAACCTTTTGGAAAATTACTGGCTAACGTTTCCATTAAACCAAATTATAATTAACAGATAATGCCCTGTAATATCTTCAGATAGCTTCATTTAAATAGATTAATGGACAAGCCTGTCTATTACATATTTCTATCATGTAGGCTTGAGAGGAATTAGATAACTGACTGCAGCTTCAAGAAATCTAATCATGCTACTTTTTTGGTCATAGCAATAGATGAAATATCCTGTTAACATTGTATTCTGTTTTGTTATCCTATTAAATTTGTATCCTTTTAACTTTGGAGATGTTTCTAATTGTCCAAACTTACTTTCAGAGTCTCTAAGTCCCATTTTATTTATACAGCATCTAATAAATTGTATTGCTTCTGTTTCTCGCGTTTATCAATTCCTCATCTGTAATGTCCCAAACCACCAGCCTTGCATGCAGATTTCAAGAGAGATTCAATAAATGAATGTGACTCTGTCTTTTATTATGTTCCTTGTTTCTGTCTTACCTGTATATTACTTTATAGAACAGATCACTAGATACCAACATTTGTTTTGTAGCTACTCTTTATGGTATTATTTAGATTCTACAAAACTCAATAAAAACTTTTTTTAAAAAGAAAAGAATAATCAATCTGTTTCCTCTGGTGATCTTGGTCCCAAAAGATATGAGTCCATAGGTAAATCCAATATTGATTAGAAACATTTGAAAATAAGTTGTGCCATCTAGTTTTTATAGTGCTATCTAGTGATTTTAGATTGTGTTTAAACACAAGTTCATGGCAAACCAAGTTTATAAAATGATGCAAAGGCCTACACCCCAGCAGGGTACTTACTACCCACTTAAAACTAGTTTCTGAATCTGGCTTGTTTGGAAGCCACTGACCAGGGGCGGGGAATGGGATTGAATTTCAGGGACTGGCTGGATGCTGATTACTGTGTACTGAAGAAAGTGGGCCTGGAGTCAGTCTCGGGAAAGGGAAGCAGTGATTTGTGGGGAACTGTACCAGCCAGGAGACAAGAATCAGGAGCAGGGGAAGAAGGTTCAGAGCTGGAGATCAGGCAACTGAAGGGCCAGGTGCTTCCCCACCCTCTCCTGCACTATTGTCTCCCAGAACCAGGAGGGGACTGAAGAGGGATGAGCAGAGGGAGTTGCCATGCAGGCGCAGTCTCTGGCTGCATGCATACAGCCTGTCAGGTGAAGGTACAAAAAAACTGGTGGTGGAGGAGTGGACCCCTGTTGCTGCAACTACTCCATGGAGCACAGACCTGGGAATAGCTGCCTAGATGTTAGATTGGTGTGTGTCGGTGTCCAGTTTTGTAGAAGCTACTGTGTTGTCTTTGACAATGAAGAGTTAACTATCTTCCATGTGTGTAGGAAGTGCCCTTGATATTGAACCAGTGGACCAGATTCTGGGTTCTCTCAGCCTCAGTGGCATCGGGTAACGTCAGTTACCCGATGCCACTATAATGGCAGGTGTGCCGTTTTCCCTCTGTAGAGCACAAACTGTGCTACAAAGGAAAATCTAAGCCCAGTCAAGTGGGGCTTGAAGTTATTGCTGATTGGAGGAGGAGGAATTTGGATTTGATAGCTTTATCACTACCCAAAAGAGTCTCAAAGTGGCTAACATTCTCCTTTCTCTTCCTCCCCCACAACAAACACTGTGAGGTGAGTGAGGCTGAGAGACTTCAAAGAAGTGGGACTAGCACAAGGTCACCCAGCAGCTGCATGTGGAGGAGTGGAGATGCGAACCCGGTTCATCAGATTACAAGTCTACCGCTCTTAACCACTACACCACACTGGCTCTCTCTGTTACTTCAAGTTTCATTTTTGGTGGGGGGGCGGGGGGGGGGCTGTGCTGAGTTTTTGATGCAGTGCTGGGTTCTCAGTAGCACAGCTGATCCCAGTGCTCTTGGAAGATAGAACCTATCAGTTGATAGGCAGTAACTTCAAGCTCCACTTTCTGTTGAGATCGCCTGCATCATGGAGTTTCCCATAGAGTGTTCTGCAGTGCGGCCCATCCTCTTTGCCAGTCAGCTGATTGCCAGTGCACAATTAGCAGCTCCCTTTAATGCTCCCAGTTGTGTATTGGCAGTTTTATCTCCATCTGCCCCTCTCTTGACATGGCATGTGACACCTGGTGTCGGGCAGGTGGGCGTGATTTGGGGGTAAATGGACTCGCAGTCCAAACTGGGACCTTTGCTGGGCCTTGCTGGGCTGGATCTTCCTTGTGCCTACCACGAAACCAAAGGTCCTAGTTTGGGCATAATGGCAAGTTATGGTTAACTGTGTTTTCTTGGTTTGTTTTGCAAAGCGAGGAACAAAACTGTAGCAAAGGGTCTGCATGTGTGCACACAGAGCTTGTGCATATCCTGGCATAGGAGGCCGGGATCTGTTTTCTGGGACATAGCCAGTGTTTCCCAGTAATGAAGACTGAAGAAAAAATATTTTTAAGTAGGAAATCAATTTATTCCATTTGACTATGATGGAAAGTTGGTGTGTACAAGGTAATGCACCAGTAAAAGTACGCAGCTGCTGACTGCTGAGCTCAATGCTCCAAAGCCCTCGGAGATTTGTTATACATATTGAGTTGTGATCTGGAAATGAAATGTAGCAGATTCCTCAACCTTCCATCTGTGTGTGAAATGACTGAGAGAAAGAGCACAGAACTGTGTAATTAAGTCTGTGTACAATGATCTCATGGCATGGTGGTTTGCAGCTCCTACTTAGGTATTTAATTTATGAGAAATTCATACTTGATGTGCCTTTTGCTAGCTATTAACTATGCAATGCATAACATCATGTATTATAATTAAAATTATACTTATTTTGACTGGTGTCAAATGCCATTAAAACAACAACTAGGTTATTCACACCTGATTAGACGTGGTATCTTTTAATTTATTTCTTTCCTTGGGGAAAACATTGAATTATTTAGTCCTTTATCTGTTAATTTTCAATTTACTGACAATAGACATTATTGAGCTTTGGTTGCTACAGGAACATCCTTGACAGCTTGGTATTCCTTTTCCCTTGCAGAAGTGTGCTGTAAAAGTCCTGAGAGGTGGCAGATAATTTACAGATATAACCATCTCTTTCAAGTGAACAAAATGTATTGGCTCTTTTTTAGCCAAGGATGCCCCAGATCAACGTGACGGGAGTAGTATATGGTGTCACAATATTGATCATGTGTTTTTTTGCACTTTATGCATTCGGAAGCTTTTTCTGTTTTTCTTTTAGAAGGGAGGACAATATATTTTACTCAAAAGCAATGTCCATTACTCCAGGATCAACCCCCTCCCACCCCAAGGTATACCATTAAATAACATTTCCAAGTGTGGCATTAATAAAGATCAAAAGCTTTTATAAAATCCACCACTCAAACCATTGACACCTTGGGATTTCCCATTCTTTAAGTGTTTCATCTCAGATTCTATTTTGTCTGCTGTTATAGTCCAATTTGGTCATTATGCCCCGGGCTGAATGGGGGGAATCTCTGTCTTATCTAAATACACCTTGATGACATCCAGATTTGGATGATCTGCAGAAAAATAATCAGCAAGTGCTTGACAGATATCATTTCTTTTGTGGGAAAAGTTAGTCTCTTGACATTTTTGAGTTGTGCAACCTGATGCCATAACTGTAAGGCTCTTGTTGCCTCGTGATACATCCAGTTTAAATACACCATACATCAGGGGTCAGCAAACTTTTTCAGCAGGGGGCTGGTCCACTGTCCCTCAGACCTTGTGGGGGGCTGGACTATATTTTTATTTTTTGGGGGGGAGAATGAATTCTAATGCCCCACAAATAATCCAGAGATGCATTTTAAATAAAAGCACTCATTCTACTCATGTAAAAACACCAGGCAGGCCCCACAAATAGCCCAAATATGCATTTTAAATAAAAGGACACATTCTACTCATGTAAAAACACGCTGATTCTCGGACTGTCTGCGGGCCGGATAGAGAAGGCGATTGAGCTGGATATGCCCTCTGGGCCTTAGTTTGCCTACCCATGCCATAGCTCTTCAGATCCTATCGCAGGAGTTGGCAATATATTTTGGCATTGCTGGTTTGTTTGTTTGTGGGGAGCTATATATTGTGAATGTTCAGCACAGACAGCCTCCTTCACCTTTTCAACCTAAATGCCTCTTTAATGCTGGGGAGGCCTGGCCAGATGGACAGGGAATAAGTAGATGATGATGATGATGATGATGATGATGATGATGCATGGTCCTCAAATTACAGCCTTCACTGAATCCCAGAGCAAGTGAGACAAGATCTCTGAGAATTCGTTAAACTTGAAATATGCACCTAGTTGTTCCTGCACTGGTTGATTGAGAAGAAG